GCATCAATCGAGATAATCATGTGGTTTTTGTCTTTGGTTCTGTTTATGTGGTGAATTACGTTTATGGACTTGCGTATGTTGAACCAGCCTTGCATCCCTGGGATGAATCCTACTTGATCATGGTGGATGAGCTTTTTGATATGCTGTTGCAATCGGTTTGCCAGTATTTTATTGAAGATTTTTGCATCTATGTTCATCATGGATATTGGCCTGAAATTTTCTTTTCTTGTTGAGTCTCTGCCGGGTTTTGCTATCAGGATGATGTTTGTCTCGTAAAATGATTTGGGAAGGATTCCCTCTTTTTGGATTGTCTGGAATAGTTTCAGAAGGAATGGTATCAGCTCCTCTTTGTATGTCTGGTAGAATTCAGCTGTGAACCCATCTGGACCTGGGCTTTTTTTGGGTGGTAGGCTCTTTATTGCTGCCTCGACTTCAGACCATGTTATTGGTCTATTCAGGGTTTCAGCTTCTTCCAGGTTTAGGTTTGGGAGGATGCAGGTGTCCAGGAATTTATCCATTTCTTCCAGGTTTACTAGTTTATGTGCATAGAGTTGTTTGTAATAATCTCTGATGATGGTTTGGATTTCTGTGGAATCCGTGGTGATATCCCCTTTATTGTTTTTTATTGCATCAATTTGGTTATTCTCTCTTTTCTTTTTTATTAATCTGGCTAGTGGTCTGTCTATTTTGTTGATCTTTTCAAAAAACCAGCTCCTGGATTTATTGATTTTTTGAAGAGTTTTTTGTGTCTCTATTTCCTTCAGTTCTGCTCTGATCTTAGTTATTTCCTGTCTTCTGCTAGGTTTTGAGTTTTTTTGATCTTGCTCCTCTAGCTCTTTCAATTTTGATGATAGGGTGTCAATTTTAGATCTCTCCTTTCTTCTCATGTGGGCACTCATTGCTATATATTTTCCTCTAGAGACTGCTTTAAATGTGTCCCAGAGATTCTGGTATGTTGTGTCTTCGTTCTCATTGGTCTCGAAGAACATCTTTATTTCTGCCTTCATTTCATTGTTTATCCAGTCAACATTCAAGAGCAAGTTGTTCAGTTTCCATGAAGCTGTGCGGTTCTGAGTTAGTTTCTGCATTCTGAGTTCTAACTCGATTGCACTGTGGTCTGAGAGACTGTTTGTTATGATTTCTGTTCTTTTGCATTTGCTGAGGAGTGATTTATTGCCAATTATGTGGTCAATTTTAGAGTAGGTGTGATGTGGTGCTGAGAAGAATGTATATTCTGTGGATTTGGGGTGGAGAGTTCTGTAAATGTCTATTAGGTTTGCTTGTTCCAGGTCTGTATTCAGGTCCTGGATATCCTTGTTGATTTTCTGTCTGGTTGATCTAATATTGACAATGGGGTGTTAAAGTCTCCCACTATTATTGTGTGGGAGTCTAAGTCTCTTTGTAAGTCATTAAGAACTTGCCTTTTGTATCTGGGTGCTCCTGTATTGGGTGTGTGTATATTTAGGATCGTTAGCTCTTCTTGTTGCAGTGATCCTTTTACCATTATGTAATGTCCTTCTTTGTCTCTTTTGATCTTTGTTGCTTTAAAGTCTATTTTATCAGAGATGAGAATTGCAACTCCTGCCTTTTTTTGCTCTCCATTTGCTTGGTAGATCTTCCTCCATCCCTTTATTTTGAGCCTTTGTGTATCCTTGCATGTAAGATGGGTTTCCTGGATACAGCACACTGATGGGTTTTGGCTTTTTATCCAATTTGCCAGTCTGTGTCTTTTGATTGGGGCGTTTAGTCCATTGACATTTAGGGATAGTATTGTTATGTGTGAATTTGATACTGTCATTTTGATGCTACCTGGCTGTTTTGTTGGTTAGTTGATGCATATTCTTGATTGTGTTGATGCTCTTTTACCATTTGGTGTGTTTTTGGAGTGGCTGGTACTGGTTGTTCCTTTATATGTGTAGAGCCTCTTTCAGGAGTTCTTGTAGGGCAGGTTTGGTGGTGATGAAATCTCTGAGTGCTTGCTTGTTCACAAAGGATTTTATTTTTCCTTCACTTATGAAGCTTAGTTTGGCTGGATAGGAGATTCTGGGTTGAAAGTTCTTTTCTTTAAGGATGTTGAATATTGGCCCCCAATCTCTTCTGGCTTGTAAGGTTTCTGCTGAGAGATCTGCTGTGAGTCTAATGGGCTTCCCTTTGTGGGTAACCCGACCTTTCTCTCTGGCTGCCCTTAGCATTTTCTCTTTCATTTCAACCCTGGTGAATCTGACGATTATGTGCCTTGGGGTTGCTCTTCTTGAGGAATATCTTTGTGGTGTTCTCTGTATTTCCTGGATTTGAATATTGGTCTGCCTTGCTAGGTTGGGGAAGTTTTCCTGGATAATATCCTGAAGAGTATTTTCCAGCTTGGATTCATTCTCTTCATCACATTCAGGTACACCTATCAGACGTAGATTAGGTCTTTTCACATAGTCCCACATTTCTTGAAGATTTTGTTCATTCCTTTTTGCGCTTTTTTCTCTGTTCTTGCCTTCTCTTTTTATTTCATTGAGTTGATCTTTGACCTCTGATATCCTTTCTTCTGCCTGGTCAATTCGGCTGTTGAAGCTTGTGCATGCTTCACAAAGTTCTTGTGTTGCGTTTTTCAGCTCCATCAATTCACTTATACTCCTCTCTATGCTGTCCATTCTCGTCAGCAGTTCGTCCAATCTTTTTTCAAGGTTCCTCTTTTCTTTGCGTTCGGTTAGAACATGTTCTTTTAGCTCACTGTAGTTTCTTACTACCCACCTTCTGAAGTCTGATTCTGTCATTTCATCACCCTCCTTCTCCATCCGGTCTGGTTCCCTTGCTGGTGAGGAGTTGTGATCCCTTTTAGCAGGAGAGGTGTTCTGGTTTCGGGAGTTTTCATCCTTTTTGCGCTGGTTTCTTCCCTTTTTTGTGGGTTTATCCACCTGTTGTCTGTCTCTGTCCCGGGGAGTTGGAGCTTTATGAGTTTCTATTGCACTACTGCCTTTTTTGATTTTTCTTTCAGGTCTGACCCGCCCAGCTAGCAGCACGCCTAGACACTGCCTGCCCGCAGGGGCTTTGCTGAGCTGCTGTGGGCTCCGCCCAGCTGCCCTGAGCTCTTCCCTGTAGTCCTTTTTATATGGGCGTAGTTAGAACTGTCTCGGCAATGGTGGCCCCGCCCCTGTTATGGCGGACTCTCTCTGTTGTGGCAGGTTGCCTTGGCAATGGCGGGTTGCCTCGGCAACGGCAGCTTGCCTCCATAGCGGTGGAGAGTCTCAGTAATGGCGGAAGCCCCTCCCCCACCGAGCCGGACCGTCCGGGTTCAGCTGTGCTTGGTTTGAAGGGCTCAACCCAGAGGGTTTCCAATTACTGTTTTTGTTTTCGTTGTTGTTGGGGGCGGAGGGGTGGGACCAACCGAGCCTGATCACCTGGCTCCCTGACTCAGAGTCTTTTCTTTTAAGTTGAATGACCCCGCGTTCCGGTCGCTTGTTGAAAAGGCGCCGGGATCTCCCGTGCTGCGACTCACAGAGTCAGCTCGAACTGCGGCGCCGGCTCCTGGCGGATTTTTTGCCTAGGGATCTCCTGGCCTGACTCGCTATTTCAGATGAATGGGCAACTCTGCCGTCTCAGGGCTCTGCTCGCCAGCTAAGAGGGCTCCCAGACCAGTGGCTTTTGTACGGAGAACCGCAGCAACAGGGAGTGGTCACAGCAGCCGCGCGGGCGGAAACAGCCCGGCGGGGGCCAAAACAGCCGCACCGGCTGGGACTGCGACGCTGGCGACCCCTCTGCCTGGGTATCTCCTGGTCTGTGGGCAATAAGAGTTCATCTGGAAATGCGGCGTCCACTCACCCTCTGCACTTTCACTGGGAGCTGAAGTCCTGCGCTGTTCTTAGGCGGCCATCTTCCCAGCATAGGAACCACATTATTATAAAGGTCGTCACACTAACCAGGTTGACAAGGAGGAGGAAGAGGAAGGAGGTTGATCTTGCTGTCTCAGGAGTGGCAGAGATGGAGAGAAATCTTTGTATAAGTGGACTTGCACAGTTCAAAGTTGTGTTGTTCGAGTATCAACTGTACAGTTGTCCTTCAGTATCCAGGGGGGATTGTTTCCAGGACCTCCATGGCTACCAAAACCCACGATGCTCAAACCCTTTACAGTCAGCCCTCTCTGTCCTTTGGGTTTTAGGAGCTGCTGATAAGGAGAACCAACTGTACTAAAGGACATTAAAGCATGCTAGTTAAGAGTAAAGGCTCTGAAGCCAACTGCCTAGGTTCAGATTCTGGCTTCCTCATTTTCTAGCTGAATATATTTTATAATTACTTAGTTTCTTGGTGCTTCAGATTCCTTGATGTAATGCAGTTAGAACAGGGCCTAGCATATATTAATTGCCCCAAAAATAAAGCTAATGTTTTCTCTTTGATTACTTCTCACCCATTCTGTATGAAATACTATGACAAACTTCTGTTATATTTTGTTCTGGTAAAATGGAAAGGGAAATAAGATCTTTTAAAAAGAAATAAGCTAAGTAATAAAATGGCAGTCTTGAAAAATGAAGACATGTACATCAGTGAAAGTTTGGAGGAATAGACACCAAAATGTTAGCAATGGTCATCTTCCGGTGTGGTTGGAATTATGAGTGTTTAATATTACTTGCCCTTGGTTTAGCTGTATTTTCTGAAACTTCTACAGGGGAAATGTGCTAATTTTTAAAAAGTTATTTCTAAAATAAACAAGGATTCAGTAGTGGAATACCTGAAATAAGCAAAAGAGAAAGAAACTTTAGACCTTATTTATATTAAGTATTCTGTTGACTGTCTTAGTTGTGATCTGGTCTTCTAGTCCTATTGACACAATCTTGATTCTTTACTTCCAACCCTTGTTAATACTTGATTAAACTAAAAGTAAAACAGTAAATTTTTAATCATAAATGTCTAGAAATTGTCATGACTGTATTATGTTTTGAGTGCCTAGAGACATTGTGTTATGGCTTGTAAAGAATATCTAATTTTATATTAAAACCTGAAAATTCTCTCTGTAGGTTGGAGTTATAGATTTTTCAATGTATCTCAAGGATGGGAACAGCAGTAAAGGTAGTGAAGGGTAAGTACAAAAAAAATAGGTTTCTTTTCTCCTGATGTAGTATTTTTTTTCCTTTGGTAGTATTTACAGTTTACAACAACACTGTTTTAAGAGACTTGCTGAAAGAATTTCTAATCATATAGCTTTAATAAAGTCTTGCCAAAAATATCTGACTATTATGCCTACTGTTAAACACTAAAAGGATTTTTGTTTTGTTTAATAATTTTCCTGCTATGTGGTTCCAGGGGCAAATAAAATAAAAATTTTCTAGAGGATTCCAGTTCTCCATCTCTTATAGTAGATTTTAAAACATAGTCATTTTGACGAGAGGGATTATTTTCTCAGTTTGCTTAAAATTGGCAATATGAAATATGCACCATGAGGTTATGTAAAATGTTAACATTAGGGGGAACTGAGTGAAGGTACATGGGAACTCTGTACTGCCTTTATACCTCCTCTTGTAAATGTAAAATTATGTTAAACAGTTTTAAAATATTCATTATGATACTTAGTAATTAGAGATCAGAAGAGCATCTATACTCTTTATAAACTTAGCTATTGAAAGCATAATTATTCTGATGATTTTAATTTTTGACATTGAGATAAATTATCTCACTGTTATTTTGGTAATTGTATAGGTATGGGGCCTTAATTTTATCTTTCTTTTTTTTTTTTTTTTTTTTTTTTTTTTTTTTTTTTTTTTTTTGAGACGGAGTTTCGCTCTTGTTACCCAGGCTGGAGTGCAATGGCGCAATCTCGGCTCACCGCAACCTCCGCCTCCTGGGTTCAGGCAGTTCTCCTGCCTCAGCCTCCGGAGTAGCTGGGATTACAGGCACGCACCACCATGCCCAGCTATTTTTTTTTGTATTTTTAGTAGAGACGGGGTTTCACCATGTTGACCAGGATGGTCTCGATCTCTTGACCTTGTGATCCACCCGCCTCGGCCTCCCAAAGTGCTGGGATTACAGGCTTGAGCCACCGCGCCCGGCCAATTTTATCTTTCAACTGAAAAAGCTCGCTGTTTAACTTTTGTCTGTTACAGATTAGTTGATTGTAGAAGTGAACCTTCTTTATCTTCAGTTTGTTTTTCATGTAATAATAAACATTTCGGCCCGGCACAGTGTCTTACGCCTATAATCCCAGCAGTTTGGGAGGCCAAGGTGAGGGGATCACCTGAGGTCAACATGGTGAAACCTCTCTCTAAAAAATACAGAAAAAAAAAAAGAAAACAGTTAGTCTAGCATGATGGCGGGTGCCTGTAATCCCAGCTACTCTGGAGGCTGAGGCAGGAGAATCACTTAAACCCGGGAGGCAGAGGTTGCATTGAACTGAGATTGTGCCATTGCACTCCACCCTGGGTGACAGAGCAAGACTTTATCTCAAAAGAAAAAATAATAATAATGATAAATATTTGATTTTTATGAAAGACTTTTTAACCATTCACTTTAAATGTTAAATAGCACAGACAAATATTTAGTCTTTGCGAATAGCTGTATTACATCAGAGTGAGCTTAATTCAAGTCCTGTGACAAATGGACAATTGTTACTACAAATACTATTAGTGAAGCTAAAAAACCTATTAACAAAAAAACTTTTTATCCTTTAAATGCCTCTAATAGATTGCAATATCATACATATGATCTAAGTTATTAATACTAAGGTTTATAAGCTATAACGAGCTTTATTAGTGTGGGGTTGTGTCATTTTTAAACTCTTGACTTTTTCTTGTTAATATGTCAAGAGGGTTTACATCAAATCTGTCTTATGGTTCAGTGTATCTGTGCCACAGTTTTTTTCTCATGTTTTATGAAAAGATGGGGTGGGGTAGGGTTGGGATCTTGGTATTTCCTACGTTATTTATTTTATTTCTATTTTCTCCCTCTCCCCCTAGAGATGGTCAGATTACTGCAATTCTGGACCAGAAGAACTATGTAGAAGAACTGAACAGACATTTGAAGTAAATGATGAATAAGTATATTACTTACTTACTTTACTGGGGAATTGTTGAGGGAGAAGGGAAGAGTAAAATGATGAACAGTGAGGATAAATTCAGACAGTGCTCAACAAATATATGTAGAATTCAGTGCTTGCCAGGCACTGAATCATATAATAACTCAATGCTTGCCAGGCACTAAGTTAGCCACTAGATGAATAAATGGCGTTTAACAGTTTTGGTGACCTTTAGTGAAAGGCAATATATAATGTTATATATAATATATAATAATATAGTATATAATGTTATGTATGTAGTTATAACTCTAGTGATAAATAAATGCATAAATACATTCAGTTAAGAATTTTAAAATATGTAACATACACAGTTGAAAATTGGTAGCTTTTTGGTTTAGCATATATAGCCGCATATTTCAGGACTGATCTTGGATAAACCACTCATTACATTAGTACCTTTAAATTAATCATATCGTCCAGGTGTGGTGGCTCAAGCCTGTAGTCCCAACACTTTGAGAGGCCAAGGCTGGAGGATCGTTTGAGCTCAGGAGTTTGAGACCAGCTGGTAACATAGCAAGACCTTGTCTACTAAAAAACAAAAAAACTAGCTGGAGATGCGCCTGTAGTCCCAGGTACCTGTGAGGCCAGCCTGGGTTACCGAGTGATACCCTGTCTAAAAAGAAAAAAAAAAAAAAATACATATTTTGCTTCCCTGCATTTCTCATTTATACATTGAATTAATAGCATTAATTTACCCTTCACCATTATTACAGTTAATTTGCCAAGTTTTCACCAAGTACAGTAGTTCCCCCTTATGTGGAGGGGATACATTTGATACTATCTGAAACCACAGACAGTACCAAACCCTATATATACTGTGTTTTTTCCTCTACATATATACCTGTGATAAAGTTTAATTTATAACTTAGGCAAGGTAGGAGATTAGCAACAATAATAAAACCGTTTTAACAATTGACTATAATAAAAGACATATGAATGCAGTGTCTCCCTCAGAGTATCTTACTATATTATTTTCATCTATTTTTGAACCACAGTTGAGTGCAGGTAACTGAAACCACAGAAAGCAAAACTATAGATAAGAGGAGACGACTGTCGTTTCAGAACTTTACAGAACATGAAACAGTTCTCTCCCCTGAGAAGAGCTATCCAAAAACTACTGGTATTCTCAAGTACTTTATGTTCTTGTTATGTTAAGACTACTGAATAATTTTGAAGAATAATTAATGTATTCATCAGTTATCTTGTTTGTAGTTCTCTTATGAAAAAATAGACATTTTAATTTAAATAAAACTTATGATTATACTACTGTCAGTAAAATTTTGAGTAGTCTTGGTTCCACCTAGCAGATTCAATAGTTTTAAGTACATTTTCTCTGGGGACCGAGAACTAATATAATGACTGTAATAAACTATGGAGATGTTAGCCAAGCAAAATATGGTTACAGTTCACAATGAAATATAAACAATGGCACTATTCTTTGCTCCTTCTCTGCATTCATTTCTTTAACTTTAATTGAGAATACCTAACATAAACCGTTGTTGAAAGGAATACATGCAGTAATGCAAATGACATAATTTAGAAGAGGGCTTGGTACGTATAAGCACTTAATTCATATAGCCTGTTATGATCATATGTAGACAAACCTTAAAGTTTACTGTGTAGGGAATGAACTCTTTTATTTCATTGAATAAATACTTATTGAATTAAAACTCAAATGCCAAAGATAGAGCAGTTAAAGCAGACACCGCCTTCTGTAAGATTAGAGGTCAAGAATTGTGAGCATTAAGGCTGGGCGTGGTGCTTCATGCCTATAATCCCAGCACTCTGGGAGGCCAAGGCAGGCAGATCACTGGAGGTCAGGAATTTTGAGAGCAGCCTGGGCAACGTGGTGAAACCCTGTCTCCACTAAAAAATACAAGAATTAACTGGATTTGATGGTGCGGGCCTATAGTCCCTAGCTTCTCGGGAAGCTGAGGCATGAGAATTTCTTGAACGCAGAAGGCAGAGGTTGCAGTGAGCCAAGATCGCACCTCTGCACTCCAGTCTTGGCAGCAGAGCGAGACTCTGTCTAAAAAAAAGGAATTGTGAACATTAGACAAGACAATGAAGTCTAAGTGTGAAGGATTTAAAAAGGACGGTACAGGGTATTGTTCTGTTTTCCAAAAGTGACCACTTTTTTTCTTCTCTTGATAGTGCTACTGTAAACAATCTTCAGGCAAAAGTAGATGCATTAGAAAAATCCAACACTAAACTGACAGAGGAGGTAAGTTTTGTTAATTCTTTGACTTACAGAATTTAATATGCATTAGTAGAACCAATAATTTTTATGTAACCTTGGAAAGGAAGAACTTGACTTTTCAAATAAAATCAACTGTAATGCGTAACTCCTTATTCTGACTAGAATGGCCAGTTGGCTTATTGGAGGGGTCTCATTTACCCAGTTGGACTGTGTAGGGACATGTTGCCTGGATGATGAAGTATCTTAGTTTATTTTGTGTGCATATTTTGCCTGGGCTGACCTAGAATAAATGTTTAGCATATAGCATGTTCATCATTTATTCATTCAGTGAACATTTCAGACACTGTTTATGTGCAAGAGCTAGACAAATATTTATATGTGCCAGGCATTGATTTATGTTCCAGATTGGCAAACTCCCCCACCGCTATGTCCTTCTTTTCTTCCTGGGACAGTTACATAGATAAGGTAAAGAGTCCCGGACAGAAGATCAGTGATCTCTGCTTACAAATCATGCTTATGTAAGTCATGTGCTCCTGAGTAAGTCAGTCACTTGACCTCTAAAAGGCCCAGTTCCCTCACTGGAAAATGAGAGTGCTTACAATGCCCTTGCCTTTCAGCCTCACAATTAACTCTGAAGATCAGATAAGAATAGACAAGAATGTAAAAACTCTTAGGAAAGTCCCTAAAATAAGAGCAGAAAAATAACCTCATGTTTTACTTCTAATAAAAAGATTTTTTCCCTAACTTGCCAAAGCCTTAGCTAGAGGTATTTTTTCTCTAAATAGCATTAGATGTTTTTATTAAAAATACTGAATAACATTATCCAGATGGCAAAGAGTTTACCTTCTTTATTTCTTTTTCTTTTTTTGAGATAGGATCTCACTCTGTTGTCCAGGCTTGAGTGCAGCAACACAATGGCTCACTGCAACCCCTGCCCCCCGGGCTCAAGTGATCTCCCACCTCAGCTTCCCAAGTAGCTGGGATCACAGGCACACACCACCATACCCAGCTGTTTTTAGTAGAGACAGGGTCTTGCCATGTTGCCCAGGTTGGTCATGAACTGCTGAGCTCAAGCGACCTGCCTGCCTCAGCCTTCCAAAGTGGTAAAATTATAGGTGTTGAGCCACTGGGCCTGGCCTACCTTCTTCATTTCTGATTATAATGATGCCCTTATACCCCAGTGGGATGAATTTAGTTTAAATAAAACCAAATTAGAACACTAGTCAGGAAGATGCTTTTAATCGGTTTTTCTTTAAAATGAACATTTTCATTGTTACAGTTTTAAAATACCTTTTTTTTTTTTATTACTCTGTGGCTTTTTTGAAGCTCTGTAGCCTTCACTTCTGGAAAAAGAAATTTTAATTTTATATATATATATTTTTTTGAGATGGAGTTTCGCTCTTACTACCCAGGCTGGAGTGCAATGGCGCAATCTTGGCTCACCGCAACCTCCGCCTCCTGGGTTCAGGCAATTCTCCTGCCTCAGCCTCCTGAGTAGCTGGGATTACAGGCACGCGCCGCCATGCGCAGCTAATTTTTTGTATTTTTAGTAGAGACGGGGTTTCACCATGTTGACCAGGATGGTCTCGATCTCTTGACCTCGTGATCCACCTGCCTCGGCCTCCCAAAGTGCTGGGATTACAGGCTTGAGCCACCGCGCCTGGCCTAATTTTATATATCTTAAAACTTTATGCTTATGGTCCTTAGAATCTTATCATATAGTCTTTTGGAATGTTCAGCACTGATATTTTTTACTGTGATTCTGCTGTTACTATATTGAAGCAGTACAGCATAGCAATTAAGCATGATCTCTAAAGCTAGGCTACTTGGGTTCATGTCCTGGCTCTAGCACTTGCTACTCTTATTTTGTATCTTTTTTTAAATTTAATTAAATTCAATTTTATTTTTTTGAGCCAGAGTCTTGCTCTGTCACCCAGGTTGGGGTGCAGTGGTACCATCTTGGCTCACTGCAACCTCCATTTCCTGGATACAAGTGATTCTTCTGCCTCAGCCTCCCAAGTAGCTGGGACTACAGCTGTGTGCCACCACACCAGCTAATTTTTTTTATATTTTTAGTAGAGGAGGGATTTCACCATGTTTGCCAGGCTGGTCTCGAACTCCTGACCTTGTGATATACCCGCCTTGGCCTCCAAACTGCTGGGATTACATGAGTCACTGCACCTGGCTTTTTTTTTTTTTTTTTTTTTTTTTAAACAAGACAGAGTCTCACTATGTTGCTTAGGCTAGAGTGCAATGGTATGATCTCAGCTCACTGTAGACGCCACTCAATGCAACCTCCGCCTCCTGGTTCAAGCGATTCTCCTGCCTCAGTCTCTTGAGTAGCTGGGACTACGGGCATATACCACCATACCTAGCTAATTTTTGTATTTTGGTAGAAACAGGGTTTCACCAGGTTGGCCAGGCTGGTCTTTAATTCCTGAGCCTAGATAATCTACCTGCCTCGGCCTCCCAAAGTGCTGGGATTATAGGCGTGAGCCATTGTACCTGGCACTTGCTAGTCTTCTAATCTTGGGCCAATTACTTAAGCCTCTATTCCTTGATTTGCTTATCTGTAACATGGAAATAGCAGTAATAGTATTTTATGAGATTGTTATGTGAAATGGTTTAATACATGATTAGGGCTTAGAACAGTACCTGATATATCATAAGCACTCAATAAATATAGTTGTTAATTTTATTCCCTCAGTCATAGGACTTGTCTTCCTTAGATTTATTATATTAATACTAAAAATATTCATTTATTCATTTACTTATTTTACCAATAACACTTATTTTCTTAAATAAAATATCCTTTAAGAGAGCAGATAAGGCTCATTAGTTCTGTCTTTTCTCATTTCCATTTTGGGTTTAAGAGGGTCAGTAAGGCCAGGCACGGTGGCTCACACCTGTAATCCCAGCACTTTGGGATGTCAAGGTGGGTGGATCACTTGAGGCCAGGATTCCAAGACCAGCCTGGGCAACATGGCAAAACCGTTTCTCGGGGGAAAAAAAAAAAAAAAGGCCAGAGAATAAGATAGCAGACCTCTTTTCCCCTCCTGGGATTTGAACTTGAATGACAAACTAAGAAGAATTAGGCAGATGAAGATATAAATATCCACTTCAGGCCAGGCACGGTGACTCAAACCTATAATCCCAGCCCTTTGGAAGCCAAGGCAGGAGGATCATTTGAGGCCAAGAGTTAAGACTAGCCTGGGAAACAGTGAGACCCCATCTCTACACAAAATTAACCAGGTGTTGTGGTGCACACCTGTAGCCCCAGCTACTCGAGAGGCTGAGGAGGGAGGATTTCTTGAGCCTGAGAGACGAAGGCTGCATTAGCTAAGCTTATGCCACCACATTCCAACCTGGGCGACAGAGGAGACCCTGTCTCAAATAAATAAATAGATAGATAAATAAATGTCCACTTCATTATTGGTAAAGCTGAATTGGAAAGCCTCCTGTATCTGCAGCCATAATCAGGTTTCCCAATAGTTTCTCTTAAATCAAGATTTTGGAACAACCTTCCTGAGGGCAAACTTGAATCTAGAGAAGAGATCAACTTGCCCAGAAGTAGTTTCGTACACGTTTTTAGGCCACCGGATCTGAGACAGAATTGAGCTTCCAGGCCTGCCCCCAGAAAGCATGAGCTTCTCTGTGCTTACCATGTTAGGACTGGAACTGAGCAGAGCCTGCACCTGCTGCTAGTGAGGAGATAATAATTGAGAAGAAGACAAGCCTGGCTGGAGGAGCCTGATCGGTTATTCCTCCCAGTCTCATGCAGGCACCTTCACATTTTCTGGAAGTTTTAGTAGGTGCAGAGAAGGGAAAAGTGTTTCCGCCTTGCTTTTTTCTTCTGAGAAATAAAGATATAAATGTTTCCCCGTAGCAGTTTACTGCTAATAACATTACCTGATTTTTTTAGGCATTGAAATAAAAAATCTCAATGCGTAATAAGATCTTTTAGCATGAGAACTTTGGAGTTCATTTTTTAAATCTTTTTAGAAATCTATTAAAAAGATCTTATGAAGAGTTTGTCACATGGGTTCCATGGTGTGACAGGACCTATTTATTTATTTCATTTTTTTTTTTTTAATTATACTTTAAGTTCTGGGATACATGTGCAGATCTTGCAGGATTGTTACATAGGTATACACATGTCATGGTGGTTTGCTGCCTCCATCTCCCCGTCACCTACATTAGGTATTCCTCCTAATGTTATCCCTCCCTTGCCCCCAAACCCCAACTGACCCCAGTGTATGATGTTTCCCTCCTTGTGTCCATGTCTTCTCATGTTTAACACCCACTTAAGACATGTGCTGTTTGGTTTTCTGTTCTTGTGTCAGTTGGCTGAGAATGATGGTTTCCAGTTTCATCCATGTCTCTGCACAGGACATGTACTCATCCTTTTGTATGGCTGCATAGTATTCCATGGTGTATATGTGCCACATTTTCTTTATCCCAGTCTATCATTGATGAGCATTTGGGTTGGTTTCAGGTCTTTGCTATTGTAAACATTGCCGCAATGAACGTACGTGTGCGTGTGTCTTTATAATAGAACGATTTATAACCCTTTGGGTATATACCCAGTGATGGGATTGCTGGGTCAAACGGTATTTCTATTTCTAGATCCTTGAAGAATCACCACACTGTCTTCCACAATGGTTGAACTAATTTACACTCCCACCAAAAGTGTTAAAAGCGTTCCTATTTCTCTACATCCTCTCCAGCGTCTGTTTGTCTCCAGATTTTTTAATGATCGCCATTCTAACTGGTGTGAGATGGTATCTCAATGTGGTTTTGATTTGCATTTCTCTAATGACCAGTGATGATGAGCATTTTTTCATATGTTTCTTGGCCACATAAATGTCTTCTTTTGAAAAATATCTGTTGCTGGGCATGGTGGCGCATGCCTGTAGTCCCAGTGACTCAGGAGGCTGAGGTGGGAGGATCGCTTGAGCCCAGGAGTTCTGGGCTGCAGTGTGCTATGCCGATCGGGTGTCCGCACTAAGTTCGGCATCAATATGGTGACCTCCCGGGAGTAGGGGACCACCAGGTTGCCTAAGGAGGGGTGAACCGGCTCAGGTCGGAAACAGAGCAGGTCAAAACTCCCGTGCTGATCAGTAGTGGGATCGCACCTGTGAATAGCCACTGCACTCCAGCCTGGGCAACATAGCGAGACCCTGTCTCTAAAAAAAAAAAGAAAGAAAGAAAAGTGTCTGTTTATATCCTTTGCCCACTTTTTGCTGGGGTTGTTTTTTTCTTGTAAATTTGTTTTAGTTCTTTGTAGATTCTGGATGTTAGCTCTTTGTCAGGTAGGTGGCTTGCAAAAATTTTTTCCCATTCTGTTGGTTGCCGGTTCACTCTAAAGATATTTTGCTGTGCAAAAGCTCTTAAGCCTAATTAGATCCCATTTGTCTATTTTGGCTTTTGTTGCCATTCCTTTTGGTGTTTTAGTCATGAAGTCCTTGCCTATGCCTATGGACAGGACCTATTTATTAAACATTTTAGAAGTAGGCATTCTTAATAAATATATATTTTTTCTTACTAATAAGAACATCCTTGAGATAATCTTAAGTTAAAACTTTTCATATAAAAGTAGCAATAAGGCAATATGTTTTATTTTTATTTAGCCTCATCTAAAAATATTCTTGGCTGGGTGTGGTGGCTCATGCCTATAAACCCAGCACTTTGAGAGGCCGAGGTGGACAGATCTCTTGAAGCCAGAAGTTCAACACCAGCCTGGCTAACATAGTGAAACCTTGTCTCTATGAAAAATACAAAAATTATCTGGGCATAGTGGTGGATGCCTGTAGTCACAGCTAGTCAGAAGGCTAATGCATGAGAACTTCTTGAACCCAGGAGGCAGAGGTTACAGTGAGCTGAGATCGCACCACTGCATTCCAGGCTGGGCAATAGAGTGAGGCCCTGTCTCAGAAAAATAGAGAAAGAAAAATATTTCTCTTGAGTTCCCCGTAAGAACGTTTTTATTGGGTTATAGCTTGCTTGCTTTCTAAGAATATAGAAGCCTAAAAATTACATCCTAGCTGATCATGAATTATCTTAACACTATGTTAATTTTAAAAAGATAAAAGATTATTTTTAAAATTTTATCCACAGCTTGCAGTTGCAAACAACAGGATCATTACCTTACAAGAAGAAATGGAACGAGTTAAAGAGGAAAGTTCCTACATACTGGAATCCAATCGGAAGGTTAATCTTGCTGGATTTATAAAATATTCATAGAGATCATATCAGCTTGTTAGTGGTAAAGGAGAGTCTCTAAAGGACTGTTTTAAGCAGCAAACCTGTAGCAAGCCACTTTTTATTTAGACTGTATGCATAATTGTGTGATGAAGGTTGTGGGAGAGTTATGCCCCTTTTCCTACAAGATGCTTCTTGGCTTCACAGCCACCTACATCTGTTTAGAGACTTCAAGAAACAGTCTAATTCAGTTTCTTGTTTTTATGTACTGGTGATTCATACAGTATTTAACAATTTGTTATTTTAAATATACCATTACTTTTATACCATGTTACTGTTTTATAAGAAGTGACACCTCATTTATGTGATACCACTGAGAAAGAGCTACCATATAAATGTACTTCCTGGGTAACTTAATCCTTTAAAGCACCAAACTTGTTATAAATGTCTAAATCAGAATTTTGTAAACCTTTGTTTTGTACAATTCCAAGCCTTTTTAATTAAGGATGTAATTTAATACATGTAGCCCTTTATGATGACTGAGGATCATAATTACCAACATTGACAATTCTCTATTACATCATAATAGTGCCACTTCAGGAGACTATTGAAGTTGATAGAGCTTCTGGCACCTATACTTAAATATTCCCTGATTTCTGTGGATGGTTTTTTCCCTATCTTTTATGTATTCACTAGCATCTCTTACTTTTTGCTGATGCTAGTGTTGTTATCATTAGGATGATCTCTCTACTTTCTTTTATCTTCATGCTTATAATCTACTGTCCCTAGGAATTCAACTATTGATAGTTATTAAAATTGTTCTTTTACTAGGCTATTAGACGGAACCAAAGCAGTGTTCCATGACTAAGGTGATCCATCTGCTCAGAATTTTTTTATGACCTGCTTATTTTTATCTGTGATTTTGCTGGAATGTTGAAGATACCAGTTGTGAATTCTCTGGAGATTGAATCTATTAACATTTAAACCTGTAGCCCTTGGGCCAGGCGCAGTGGCTCATGCCTGTAATCCCTATGCTTTGGGAGGCCAAGGCAGGTGGATTACTTGAGATCAGGAGTTCAAGACCAGCCTGGGCAACATGGTGAAACCTCGTCTCTACTAAAAATACAAAAATTAGCCAGGCATGGTGGCGCATACCTATAATCCTAGCTACTTGGGAAGCTGAGACAGGAGAATCACTTGAACTCAGGAGGTGGAGGTTGCAGTAGGCAGATTTTGAGCCACTGCACTCCAGCCTGGGTGACAGAGTAAGACTCCATCTCAAAAAAAAGAAAAAAAAAAACTATAGTCCAACTCATATTTTGAAATGAATACTATGTTATTTTTAGAGGCTGATTTTTAAAACTTCTGTTACCCAGTTTGGTAACCTATTTTAGGATTTTAAATAAAGTGTCAGGAAGCCCCCAATTCAGCTTACCCTTTAAAAATATACTGGACTTCTTCAGTTTCTTTGTTGTGTTTGTTCATTATTATACCTCCTTCAGTATGATCTTTTTTTCTTACTAAATAGCAATGTTAGTCTCTGCTAATTCTGATTAAATCCTTAAATATGTGCAATGTTATTTATCTTTTCAAGGGTCCCAAGCAAGACAGAACTGCAGAAGGACAAGCACTAAGTGAAGCAAGAAAGCATTTGAAAGAAGAGACACAATTACGATTGGTAAACTTTGCTTAATTTCTAATAGTTCAGGAATACATTAAAAGGGAACTGACCACTTAGAGGTTTTATTATACAGACCAAGATTAGGAATATCAGTAGTGTTCTGAAAAATTATAGATTCTGTAAAATGGTTTATCTCTTTTTAACACACATGCCTTATCATACTCACAGTCTTTTTCTGAGTATTCTCAACAATAAGATTTTGTTAATCTTTATTTATTTATTTATTTTTTGCTTTTATAGTTTGTATTACAAGAATATTAAGTATACAGAACCTACTTTTTTAAACTATGGAGTCTCACTCCCACCTAAGTCCTCATCCCTGCAAAGATTCTTGGAGGCAGTGGCTCCAAAGAATCATTATTATAGGATTACGCTATTTTATTTTTAGCTGTTATTTCTGATTTATACTTGGTCTTAGATATAAATGGGAACATTTATCATCCAGTATTGGTCTTAAGTTTTTTTAGAAATTAAAAAACACATATATATATATGGTGTGTATATATATAAACACATATATGTGTGTGTGTGTGTACACACACAAACACATATGTATTTATATATATACACACTCTCTCTCTCTCTCTCTCTCTCTCTCTCTATATATATATATATATATATATATACACACACACATCTATAGTGTAACACCTCACTGTAATCAGAGTGGCAGCTATCAAAAAATTGAAAGTTAAGTGTTGGCAAGGATGTAGAGAAAGGGAACCTTTACACACTACTGGTGAGAATATAAATTAGTATAGCTACTATGGAAAACAGTGTGAAGGCTGTTTTAAAACGTTAAAAACCAGGCCAGGCACAGCGGCTCACACCTGTAATCTAAGCACTTTGGATTACACCTGAGGTCAGGAGTTCATGACCAGCATGGTGAAACCCTGTCTCTACTAAAAATTTTTAAAAAAATCAACCAGGCATGGTGGCACACTCCTGTAATCCCAACTACTTAGGTTGCTGAGGCAGGAGAATTGCTTGAACCTGGGAGGCTGAGGCTGCAGTGAGTCAAGATTATACCACTGCACTCCATCCTGAGCGACAGAGCCAGACTCCATCTCAAAAAATAAAAAATTAATTAATTAAAAATCAATCTACCATATGATCCAGCAATCCCACTACTGGGGATATAACCAAAGGAAGTGAAATCAGCATGTTAGACAGAATCTGCACTCGTATGTTTATTGCAGCACTATTCACAGTAGTCAAGATATGGAATCAACCTTAGTGTTCATCAACATGTGAATGGATTAAAAAAAAATGCCGTACATTACACAATGGGATGCTACTCAGCCATTAAAAAGAATGAAATCCTGTCATTTGTGGCAACATGGCTGAACCGAGAGGACATTAGGTGAAGTGAAATAAGCCAAACACAGAAAAAGAAATCCTGTATGATAACATTCATTTGTGGAATCTAAAATGTTGTTCTCATAAAAGTAAAGAGTAAGGTGGTGGTTACCAGAGGGAGAGAGGGCAGGGGATAGTAAGAGATTGATCAACAGGTACAAAGCTATAGTTAGATAGGAAGAATTAGTTCTGGTCCTCTGTTGCATAGTATGGGATGACTAGAGTTAACAGTAATACATATTTTAAAATAGAAGAGAGATTTGTTGCTTTTTGTTCTTTTTTTATTAATGCCTAATAGATGTCCATCATTCCAGGGTACATATGATAATTTAATATACTCATACAATTTGTAAAGACCAAATCAGTGTTCTTGGGATACTCATCACCTTAAGTATTTGTCTTTTTTTTTTTTTGAAGGAAAATTTATATTGTTTTAATTATTTTTATGTACAGAAAACTCAACAGGGTACATTTAACCCAGTTTTGTGGCAAGTTCTTTATCTTTTGCCTCTTCGAGCTTGGCAATGTGAGCCACAGACTTGGGACCCAGGACATTGCCTCCCCAGTGACGGCTGATCTCATATCTGTCATTGTAGTTGGTGCGGATGGCTTCCACCAGCTTAGCCAAAGCGCCTTTGTCTTCTGAGTTCACGTGTGTGAAGGCGACAGTGGTGCAGGTCTTCCTGTGGACTAGATGTCCCAGTCTTGCCTTCCCCTTGATAATGCAGTAAGGGACTCCCATTTTACGACACAGGGCAGGCAAGAAGACAACGAGCTCAATGGAATCCACGTCGTGTGTAGTCACCACCAGCTGAGCTTTCTTGTTCTCCACCAAGGTGGTGACGGTGTTAACTCCTGCTCAAAGGATATGTGTGTGGTCTCTTAGTGGGAACGTCCCCTTTGCCAGCCACTTTCTTCTCGGCCCAGGCCAACAGCCTCTGCTTCTTCTCTTGCTTTGTCTGGTCTGTACTTGTTGGCCAGCTTAAGCAGCCGAGTAGCTGTTTGGCGGTCCAGGACCTGGGTGAACTGGTTAATTGCAGGGGGCAGTTTCAGCCGCTTACAGAGGATGGCTCTCTTTCGCTGCAAGGCTCTCTTTCGCTGCAACCTAATATAGCGGGGCCATTTCACAAAGCAGGGAGAGGTCTCTTTTGGGCTGGATGTCCTATCCAATGCCAAAACTCTTAGGCCTTTTCTCAAACAGGGGATTCACCACTTTCTTAACCTCCTGCTTCATGACAGCAGGGGCCGGAGCCACCTTCTTCCCCTTTGCCTTATTTCCTTTCGGCATCTTGGGCGGCGGGAAGAGCTATTTATCTTTTCTTTATGCTAGAAAAAACAGAGGCTTTCGAATGTTCTCATCACAAAGAAATGATAAATGTTTAAGATGATATATTTGTTCATTTCTCAGACTTGGTCATTACATAGGTTTTATATTATCGAAACATGTTGTACATCATAAATATGTACAGTTATGTGTTATTTATACTTCTTTAAAAAAAGAACTTATATTAAGGGATACTATTCCTGTACTGGATTTTAATAACCCCTATTATTAACATACTAAATCTTCCTGGAGTTTCGATAGTATGACAAACACAGAGACCTCCCCACAATGTCTCTAAGAATAAGGAAGAGCCTGAAAATAAGAGGTGACTTAACTTGTACTAAAAAATTATTACAGGCCAAGTGCCATGGCTCACACCTGTAATCCCAGTACTCTGGTAGGATCACTTGAGCCCAGGAGTTTGCAACCAGTCTGGGCAACATAGGGGGACCTCATCCCTACAAAAAATACAGAATTAACCATGCTTGGTGGTACATGCCTGTATTCCCAGCTACTTGGGAAGCTGAGGAGGGAGATCACCTGAGCCCAGGGAAGTTGGGGCTGCAGTGAGCCAAGATTGCACTGCACTGCCGCCTGGGCGACAGTGAGACCTTGTCTCAAAAAATATACATGTATTACAAGTTGGCAGTATATAACAATTTCAGATTTTTTTTTTTTTTTTTTTTTTTTTTTGAGATGGAGTCTTGCTGTGTCACCCAGGCTGGAGTGCAGTGGCGTGATCTCGCCTCACTGCAACCTCCACCTCCCAGGTTCAAGCAGTTCTCCTGCCTCAGCCTCCAAGTAGCTAGGATTACAGGCACCCACTACTACGCCCAGCTGATTATTGTGATTTTAGTAGAGACAGGGTTTCACCATGTTGGCCAGGCTATTCTCAAACTCCTGACCTCATGATCTGCCTGCCGCAGCCTCCCAAAGTACTGGAATTACAGGTGTAAGCCACCACGCCCAATAGAATTTCAGATTTTTTTTAAAACACAGCAGTATTATTTTAACATCCTTAAAATAGCACTTACCTTCTTTGTGTTTGTGAATGAGATCTCAAAATATAATACTTTTCATAAGAAAGATTACAGAAATAATATATGTCAGCATTTTAAGAAGGGGTATGATTCATTTTCTATAATGCTAATCTTGTATATCAGGAGTCTCAGTGAAGTGGCACATAATAAAAATATTAAAATTTTTCACGTCGTTTTATAACAATAAGACAAATGTTTGATAAGAAGGAAAGAAACTAAGAAAGTAGATGAGGGCCTAGGTGAACCCAGGACACAAGGTAGATGCAGAAGATCCTCAGGTCTTTGTATTTTTGATCATCCAAATAATGTTGCAGTAATAATGGTTGAAACAAAAAGAGGTTTCATGTTAAATGAACCTAAAAATTCTGTTAGCCTCTTAGCCATACTGGCCATCCTCAGTAATTGTGATGTTACTCCAGGGATTCAGGTGGTCCTCTGGGTTCCCTGGGCTCTTGAATATATCAACAACATTCAAATTTGGGAGAATTGCAACTACTTCATTTTGTGCTGACTACTGTAAACCTGTATGTATCTTTGTATAATAAGATATGACATCAGTTGTCTTAATGTCTAATGCAGTGTCTCAAATATGTGTATATTTTAGACATATTAAATAGCACTATCTTTGGTTTAGCAGGTTTTTCAGATTTGTACATTATTGGGCAAATGTTATTGTGTATCCTAATTATTGTTAATTAACCATTGTTAATGTTTCTGAAAATGAATAGTAGCTTAAGCTATTTTGCCAGAATATTAAGACTGAGAGTTTTGGTATACTTTTTCCTGTGAAATTTTATGGTTTGTACTTAGTTGAAACAGAGTGTAAGCAATTTACTTACCTTTGGGGGCAGGATGTTGAAAAAGAACTGGAAATGCAGATCAGCATGAGGCAGGAGATGGAATTGGCTATGAAGATGCTGGAGAAGGATGTCTGTGAGAAGCAGGATGCTCTGGTATCTCTTCGGCAGCAGCTGGATGATCTCAGAGCTCTCAAGCATGAACTTGCCTTTAAGCTGCAGGTAGGGGAGATATGAGGAATAGACTCACTGGCTCTCTAAAATCTTGGGGCTTCCCTCCTCCAATCTTATCTTCTAGAATCACACTTTAATTACAAGAGGGAAGAATCACATCGCATTTTGATGTTAGCTAGCCAGTAAACTTCTCTCAGTTTCAGACCATCATGGGATCCTATATTGCTGTTCTAGAAAACCATGGTCACTTTTCACATTATAATAGAGGGTGGGGGTCTTTTTTATCCTATAAGATAATGTCTATTCTGCAGTCTAACATGCCAGCTGAATCATATATTCTATTAGCTTTTACACTGGAATGTGATACATTGATAAACTATTACTGTGATAATGCTGCAGGTAACAATACTAACTTTAGACCAATTGCTTTTTTTCTATTTGAGGATTAACTGATACAGAAATATATGATCATTTCTATTTTCCCACTTACCATTAGATTCAAAAGGCATGTGTGGTTATATTTTAGAATATTTGTTATACAGCTTGTTTATAATTATTTTCCATAACAGAGTTCAGACTTAGGAGTAAAACAGAAAAGTGAACTAAACAGTCGCTTGGAAGAGAAGACTAATCAGATGGCTGCTACCATTAAACAACTTGAACAAAGGTAAAAGTTCTGTTTCTTCAGTGAAACACTTTAGGTTGTCAGTGCCAAAGTGAAGAGAATGTGCTGTACATTCAGCAAACAGAAAGTTTATGAAATTCTTCCAAATTAGCGTCAGACATTCTGGTAGAAAGAAAGCCAGTTGAATGTTATGTGTGTTTTCTGAGGTATGACTGAAATGTTTTTAGGAAATGTCAATCACTTGACTAGTCTTAAAAAAAAAATTGAAAGATCAACCTTTCATTGGCTGTTTTGAACATCAGAACTTTTAACCCATGTCAGAGTCATGTGTTAGAGGAAGGATACTTTAAAGCATGAAAGGACTCTCAAATATAAGTATGTAATTCTGTGATTGTATCATTCATCCCTAAAGTCTTTTGAATACTTTGATGCTAGGGGATATAGAGGCACTGAGAGACAGGTGTCCTCCAAGGATCTACTCTGTATCTTTCTCTCCCTTCTTTAGCCCTTTTCTCTTATTTTCCTTTTCTTTCTCTTGAGTAGTTCTGTAGCTTCTACTGTCACCTCCAATGTGTTCTCTAGCTCTTACCTTCATCTGGAGACCAGTCTTGAGTTTCCATCCTTTGGGCAGCTCACTTCCACCAGTACCTACAATTATGTCTGCCCAAAGCACATCTTCTCCCTACGCTACTTTCTTTCTCTGTTTGTGTGAAACAACCATTTTCTCTGTGGCAACTCAGCAGTCAAGAGAAATGGCTGCGTCTTCAAGACTGAGTGTGACACAGCACCCAAGGTCACACCTGTTCCTCACCCTTCTTGCACTTGGGCAAAACTAAATTACTGGTCCCTGGATATACTTCCCATTTTTCCCATTCATTTCTTTCCCAATACTTCCACCAATTAGAAATGTCCTAATTCTTCCCACTCCCTTGTTCTTCAGATACATTTTTAAGTTTAGGTCAAATGCTACCTCTCCAGAGTTTCCTCTGATACCTCTTTGCAGCTAGAAATGGTCTTTTTGGGAATTCCCATAGCTTCATATTCGTGTCTATCTATATTGCTTGTGACACTTCTCACTTCTGTCTTTTTCCTTTTAACCGTTATATACGTCTCTTCTGATGAGAGTGTAAGCTCCCTGAGATTAGTTAAATAATCTTTTAAGTTCCCTTATTAGATCTGTTGCAGTGCCTTGAATATACAAGCATTCATTCAGTACATATATGATGAATGGATGAATGGGTGACTTCTTTTATTCAGATGATTCTTATCTAGTAAGGGTCCTGAACAGCAGTGCATATTAATGTTAACTCAAAAGTTAATGGCAAGTTAATAATTAAGCCTGAAACCTCTTATATGGCCAAATAAAAATGTATCAGTCTACCTAGGAAAAGACGGTTGTGTACTTGCTCATAATCAGTTATATGATTATGATTTGACAAAACGATTTTAGTGTTCATAAATTGTGCTTTTGAAATGAAATGTATCAAATTCCTTTTCAATGATTTTTTGGCTTGGAATTTAAAGCAAACAGAACTAAGATAATGACTTACCTCTTTGAGTATTAAGCTGACTTATTCTCTTGCTATTTTTGTGTTTCTGTTTATCCATTTTCTCATCCCCCTTTCACTTCATTGTCATTTTTATTTTATTTAGTGAAAAGGATTTGGTGAAACAGGCAAAGACCTTAAATAGTGCAGCAAATAAACTGATCCCAAAACATCATTAGGCATTTTTCAGTTGGTCACGTCACAAATGTGATATCACAGCTCAATTGTAAAAGGAAGAAATTTGAAAGTTACTACATTTAAGCTCTGGTTCGATATGAAATGTCACCAAAAAGTTGACTTTGAATTAGTTGGACTTTTAAAAAAACAGTTGGAGATATAGATTGGATTTTTTCCTTGTTTTCTCCCCAGGGTTAGAAAAATTGGTATGAGTTCCTAATTAAATGCTGAATAAACTGAGAGAAATTATTTCTGAGTTAACCAATAAATAAAAATACCACTTTTTTTAAAAGCCTAGGGAATTGAAGCTCTGTACATATATTAATGATGCCTTTACAACCCAGTTCTTGATAATATCAGATTCGCGGTGCATTGTTCATGTCTGTATCTGCAAGCCTGTTCTGCCATTGCAGTGTAATGACCTAAAGGTAACTACCACGTGAACTTGGACTCTTCTAAAATAGTTCTGTGTCTCTTAGACCATGACCCCTTTTCACTTTTGTTATATAGGTTTAATCCCCAAGCTAAGGATAGTACTTAGTATTTTACTACACTTCTATTCTCAGTAAACAAGATTGCTTGCAACTTTTTTTGCCTTAGTGACTTTTGAAAAAGAAAAAAACAGCATCCTTATATTTCGTTAAAAAACATAGAGATAAGTTAGCAATTAGGTAGCTTATGATAATATAATAATGTGGATGCTTGGGGAAACCCTCTTCAGGTTTGTCATCTTCTACCTCTGCCATTTTCCTGCAATTCCGCTTCCTACTCGGGTAGTTCAGAGAGAACGATTCTAATAAAAACACTCCTCTCCTATTAAAAAAATGATGCACTACCCATTTTTCATATCCTGCTTTTCTTATTGGAGTAAAAAGAACAGGGTATAGACATGAGTGCTGATATTCTGCCTGGCCTGTTATTTCTTACCTGGAAACATTTACTTAAGAGTTTCTGTTACCTTTTGTTCAGATGGGGATTTGCTAAAGGTTCTGGGAAGCTAACAACTGAATTATTAGAAAAACATTTCATAATAGGAAATAAATTATAAACTTACCTTCTTTATTATTATTTAGTACAAAAATACTGATTCCATGTAGATAACCACAAGCAATATTAGCAGGGCTTCTTTTTTCAAGTGACCACAGACTAACCCTTTCTAGGCTTTAACATTGTGAATAATCCTATAAATATGTTGATTTTTTTAGGATGATTTTTGATTTGAAGAGACAGGCTTTACATAAGCCTTCATTCCTTCAAAAGGTCTTGACAAAATATTTGGATTTTTTTCCTCTTTTTTTTTTTTCATTCTTGTGTGCTTTGCAGCACTTCAGCTGCTTTTGTGGGGACACAGATAACCCCTTCGCTTCCAGCTCTTGAAATTCGTTATCTTTTTCTTGGCAAACCGAGAATTAAGAATGTAAGATAGATTCCATGTGTGCTTATGTAGGTCCCTGCACAGATTTGACTTGAACCAAAATCAAGTCAAAGAATATATGTTTAAACCAACTTCATAGAGGTAGAAGATCCTGTGCTCTTGAACTTATTTTAATTCTTATAATTTGCACCGATATAAACAAATCTCCTACTATATTCTCTTCATCAACCTCTTGTGGTGATGAGTTGCCTTTTCTATGAGCATTTGGAAGGAGTGATCAAATACCAAAATTAAACTTTCTAAAATCTACACATAGCATGCTTTTAAATTCTATTACATAAAATCCCAAGTGTTTTTCCTTCTAAAACATGCTTCTCTATAGGTGCAAAGTTGTAAAGTATTTAGAAGAAAACATCAATTCTTCTGGAGAATATGGTCAGAGTCTTAAAACAGGCCCAATGCTGAGTTCTTTGTCCACTTAGTCACACATATGTTGTGGGAATGGAAAAGGAAGGAGGCAGCCAAACTCTGACAAAGGCTTTTCCTTATAAAATAACTCAAAGCCTGGGTGAGGGTTGATATATAATGTCCCATGATTTAATATATGGGGTTTGGGGGAAGGGACAAGAAAAAACCATACTTCCACATGTAAGAAGGTAGTTGCCCATTTAAAGTTCCAGTTATGTGTGTAAAACAGAAAAATTAAGTATGAAACCTATTAGGAAATTTTTTTAAAAAGTGGATTTAACTTAAATTACTGTGTACTTGAGGTTGGCTTTGGATATGGATTTTCTAAAAAGTGATGTTTTATTGTTTATCATCTAATGGCTGTAAACTGTAGTACTAGAATAAAAAAAAAAAAAATGGAAAACCAGCTTTTCCTCTGCCTGGTTCACCTTCATCTTACTTTTTTTAGAATTTCTTTTTTCTTCATCTTTTTCCTCCCATAATTTCTTCGCCTGTGTCCTGCAAAGTTTTTTTCCTCTCTCTCTCTCTCTCTCTCTCTCTGCATTCTTCCTTGGGTTATTTTCTTTTGTGTTGTGAACTTGGTCTTCCTCCCCACCATGGCTTTTGTTTTTTATCACAAGTTCATGTGGCTCACATCCAGATTGCGCCAGGCTGAGCGAAGCCGCCAGTCTGCTGAGTTGGACAACCGGCTCTTCAAACAGGACTTTGGAGACAAGATCAACAGTCTGCAGCTGGAAGTCGAGGAGCTCACCAGGCAGCGGTGAAGAGGGGACAGCTTGAGCTGACAGGGTGGTCATGGGTAATTCTTAGGGTAGACAGCAAGAAAAGGGGTTTCATGACTTCCAGCCAGGTTGGCTCTGTCTTTGCAATGGCCTTTCTTTGGAATTGGAATTCAGAAAGCTTCACACACATCAACATTCCTCAAATCCTATCAACATGATTTGTGATTAAAGAATTAGGAAATTAGAGCCACAATCCTGGATAGTCATTATTTGCCCATGTAACACTAATAATTTCCTGAATTCTTACTGTGTGCCAGATACTTTACAAAGCACTTCACATGCAAGCTGTCCATTTAATATCTTCACATCAATCCTGTTAGTGATATTATTGCCTCCACTTTCAGATTAAGGTAGAGCTTAAGGCTGGACGCAGTGGCTCGCGTCTGTAATCCCTGTCACTTTGAGAGGCCAATGGAGGTGTACCACCTGAGGTCAGGGGTTCCAGACCAGCCTGGCCAACATCTCTACTAATGATACAAAAATTCACCAGACATTGTGGCAGTGCCTGTAATCTCAGCTACTTGGGAGGCTGAGACAAGAGAATTGCTTGAACCTGGGAGACAGAGGTTGCAGTGACCCAAGATCATGCCACTGCACTCCATCCTGGGCAACAGAGCAAGACTCTGTCTCAAAAAAAAAAAAAAAAAAAAAAAGGAAAGTAGAGATTAGAGAGGTTGAATGTGTCCAGATTCACACGGTTAATCTAAAAAGTCACAACGTTCTCCTTTAAAAACCTGTCTCTCTGACAGCAAGCTCCTAACCATTCTTAATTATTGCACTTTAAGACAAGGGGTTGGCATTCTTTAGAGAATATGTCTGTGTAGAATTTCAATTTCTCGTCCTTTTCCTTTCCTGCTTACCTCAGGAACCAGCTTGAGTTAGAACTAAAACAGGAAAAAGAAAGAAGATCACAAAATGACAGGAGCATCCCAGGAAAGGGTTCCCAGAAGCCAGAATCCAAGATGGTAATATTTGCTATTCCCTTGTTCTTTTACTGAATTTCAGTTTAAATTTCAGAGGCTAACTTGAGAGGCCTGTCAGTTTTCTTTTACAGATCACATACTTAGGGGCTGTGTCCTCAACTAGATAGACACCTGATAATGATGTGAACAGATGAAAGCTTGATTCCGAGTCTGCCTCTAGGATACGTCCTCTAACTTGATTTCATTTGGAAAGGGGGATTTTAATAATCACAGTGAACTGTTTCCCTTTTAATAATTTTTTAAGTAGGATTATTTTGGTATCTTAAAAATCTCTGTTTCTTGGATTTCTGCTAACAGTTTTCATAAAATAGTATAATAATCTCTCTCCAACCCTTTAGCAGAATTTTCCTCAGTGTGGAGTTTCTTCTGTATACCTTTTTCAAATCATGAGGATTTCACTTTGAGTACCCTCAAGGAACTTGTCATGGGAATAATTAGAAAGAAAGGGAACTAGGCTTGTGGAAGGGAAGGTAATAGAGAATAGTTTAAAGAATAAAAGTAGAAATTTCTACAGAATAATGTTAGAGGGAGATACCTCCAGCACCTATAGCAGTGAAGGAGCTAAAATTGGATAAGGTCATTTCTGGGGCCCAGGAAATAATGAAATCAGAAAAGCATGAAATGCTTTTTCTGTCAAAGACAAACACCGTGAAAAAATTGCCTCCTGTGTGTACATATTCTACAAGGGGACTTCAAAAAGATCGTGGGAAATGGAATTAAAAGGCAAAAATATATAAACTTTATTTCTCAACCTAAGTTCCATCAGAGTCAAGACACTTTTATAATTGATGATACCATCATGTAGGCCATTCCTAAATAACTGAGGGTCCTAGGAATTTAACCATATTAATACAATCTTTTTTAGATTATTAATGGAAGAAAACTAGGTGCCCTTTAATGATCTTTTAAGATTAGGAAGCAAAAAGAAATCAGAGGGAGTCAAATTAGGATTGCTTAATGATTCCCTGTCGTAACTCTCATAGAATTGCCCTTGTTTTATGAGAGGAATGAGTAGGAGCATATTTATGGTGGAATAGGACTCCTGTTGAAGCTTTCCTGAGCATTTTTTATGCTGAAGCTTTGGCTAACTTTCTGAAAACATTCTCACAAGTATTAGCCAGGTGTGGTGGCATGTGCATGTAGTCTCAGCTACTTGGGAGGCTGAGGCATGAGAATTGCTTGAACCTGGGAGGTGGAGGTTGCAGTGAGCCAAGATCACACCACTGCACTCCAGCCTGGGCAACAGAGCAAGACTCCCTCTCAAAAAATTTTTAAAAACTTAAAAACACTGTCACAATAAGCAGATATTGGCATTCTCTGGCTTTCCAGAAAGTCAACAAGCAAAATGCCTTCAGCTTTCCTAAAAACTGTTGCCATGACCTTTGCTCTTGACCTGTCTGCTTTTGCTTTGATTGCACCACTTCTGCCTCTTCAGAGCCATTGCTTTATAATTTCCCTTGAAAGCTACGCTGTGGTCTATAGCAGATATGGACACAACAGTTTTGGCACCCATCAAGTGAAAAGTTTACTCAACTTTAATTTTTCAGCCAGAATTGTATAAGCCAAACCAATTGAGATGTCTGCGGTGTTGGCTGTTGTTTCTACTGTTAATCATTAGTCCTCTTCAATCAGAGCGTGAACAAGATCCTCACAAATTGATGTGGCTGGTCTTCATCTTCAACCTTACCTGGCCCCGTCTTAAAATGGGTTATCCTTTGTAAACTGATGATTTCTTTGGAGCATTGTACCCATACGCTTTTTGCAAAGCATCTATAATTTTGCAATTCTTCCATCTAAGCTTCACCATCAATTTGATGTTTGTTCTTGCTTCAATTAATTTTATCAGAAGTCCTGTTGCTCTGGTAGGGGCTCTTCCTTTTTTCTTTTTCTTTTTTTTTTTTTTTTTGAGACAGAGTCTCATCTAGAATAGAGTCCAGTGGCACAATCATGCCTCACCACAGCCTCGATTTTCTAGGCTCAAGTGATCCTCCCACCTCAGCCTCCTGAGTAGCTGGGACTGTGGGCACAAGGCCCAAGTAATTTTTGTGTTTTTTTTTGGTAGAGATGGGGTTTTACCATGCTGCCCCGGCTGGTCTTGAACTCCTGGGCTCAAGCAACATGCCTGCCACAGCCTTCCAAAGTGCTGGGATGACAGGTGTGATCCCAGCCCGGCCAGGGGCTCTTTTCAAACTGATGTCTTATCCTTTTTAGTGACTCAAACTATATCCTGGTCAGATATATTAGAATAAGTAAGTACAAGTTTATTTTGGTGCAAAAAAATTTTGAAGTATATGCACAGTCTTTTCTTAATACACGGTCTCCATGAACTTTTTGAATACTGCTAGTATATAACAAAGCAGGACCAGTTCATAAACTATTTAAAATTTCTAGAGAGTGAGCTGCTGATTTACTGTCAAATAGAAAATAATGGTATATGGAAATTTATTAACTAGTACCACTACTAATAATTTAAAGTGTACAAAGAACCACTCTATATAGCATGCTGTCTTTATTATTTTAGTTTAGTGAACATAAAAACTAAAAGGCTTTCAAAGGTATACTTCAGATATTGGCCTGTCTTACCCTATTTTTCCAATGAGGCTTTACGTTTTTCAATCTCCAGTTGTTTCCTGCAGTGGCGTTTCCAGGAGGATAAGTATTGCATTGACCTGTCTTCCTTGATACTTGAGTGGTGTAAGAACACACATTTCAGCTGGGTGCAGTGGCTCACCCCTGTAATCCTAGCACTTTGGGAGGCTGTAGCATGAAGATTGCTTGATGCCAGGAGTTAGAGACTAGCCTGAGCAACATAGGGAGACCTCATTTCTACAACAAAAAATTTTAAATTAGCTGGTTGTGGTGGCTTATGCCTGTAGTCCCAGCTGCTCAGTACACTGAGGTGGGAGGATCACTTGAGCCCAGGAGGTCAAGGCTGCCCTGAGCTATGATCATGCCACTGCACCCCAGCCTGGGCAATAGCATGAGACCTTGTCTCACAAAACAAACAAAAAGAATATACATTCCACTTTTGGATGCACATGGGCAGCAGTTGAAGGCAAGCAGCAGTAGGTGTGTGTGCAAGAGAAAAAATGTAGCCCTAAAAACTGCCCAAGCACCTGGCCAGGCACGGTGGCTCATGCCTGTTATCCCAGCACTTTGGGAGGCCAAGGCAGGTGGATTGCCTGAGCTCAGGAGTTCAAGACCAGCCTGGGCAACATGGTGAAACTCCATCTCTACTAAAATACAAAACTGTAGCTGGGCGTGGCAGTGTGCACCTGTAATTCCAGCTACTCAGGAGACTGAGGCTGGAGTGAACCCAGGAGGCAGAGGTTGCAGTGAGCCAAGATCGCACCACAGCACTGTAGCCTAGGCAACAGCTAAAAAAAAAAAAAATGCGTGGGGTGTGGGTAGAAATGCAGTTTGAAACTTTACATTTGTCCTGCCAAGTAGAACACTACTTGAGTTGAACAGGCTATGGAGGTTGTGGCACTGGGCTGAGTGCAATGGCTGATGCCTATAATCCCAGCACTTTGGGAGGCCAAGGCAGGCGGATCACTTGAGATCAGGAGTTCAAGACTAGTCTGGCCAACATGGTAAAACCCATCTCTACTAAAAATACAAAAAATTAGCCAGGCATGGTGGCACATGCCTGTAGTCCCAGCTACTTGGGAGGCTGAGGCAGGAGAATTGGTTGAACCCACAGGCAGAGGTTTCAGTGAGCCAAGGTGACACTCCAGCCAGAGCAACAGAGTGAGACTCTGTCTCAAAAAAAAAGCTGTGGCACTGGGGGATCAACTTGATTGACCATCTGGAGGATTATAGTCTGCTGGATTTGGCCATCCTTGGTTTTACCAGTTTTTCAGAGCTCAGTCTGGGGGAAAGAAAAAGAAATTATACTTCTCCTAAGAAGCAGCCAATATCTTGAGCCAACTTTGCAAGTAAATAGAATACATTCTGAATTTTATTTGAATCTCAAGAATTAAAATATCTACTTTGAAAATCATTTGTCACAAACTATGAGAATTGTTAAGAAACTACTTAGAACAAAGAATGAGGAAACATAGCTTGAAAGTTAGATCCCTTCCCTAATGCAAAAGCTGCTTAGCTTTATACCCAAACTAAGACATTGCAGAAGAAAATATTTGCAGTATCATCATTGTTTAGCATTCGGAATAATTAATAAATTGGGCTGTTTTCTTTTGACAGGATGGGAAGCACAAAATGCAAGAGGAAAATGTTAAACTAAAAAAGTCCCTGGAAGAAAGCCACAGGTGTTTGTTAATCAAGTATTAACTAAGATGTAAAGTTATTCTGGGGTGGTGGGAAGGAGGGAGCTTTTGATATACATTGGCATTGACACTGACTTATAATATTAATATGCCAGGAAGACATTTGAAGTGGAAGTTAATAAATAATAAACCACATGACATGTATTAAACCAAACCCATTAGGCTATTTCAGAGGAAAGAAGGGTAATCAGGCTGTCCTCTCTCTCTTCCCTGATTAATTCCCAAGCTCAAATTATCACTTAAGAGGTTATTTCTCACCTTTACTGAATTGATATCCCAGGAGAATAAAGTATAAGTCATACATAGCATTTCTTAGCTTCTTAAATATATTTGAGTATGACTTGTTTCTACCTTTGTGCTAAATTTCAAATAAGTGGCCAGGCATCTATAATCACAGCACTTTGGGAGGCCAAGGTGGGCAGATCACCAGAGGTCAGGAATTTGAGACCATCCTGGCCAACATGGTAAAACCTCATCTCTGCTAGAGATACAAAATTAGTTGGGCCTGCCTGTAATCCCAACTACGTGGGAGACTGAGGCAGGAGAATCACTTGAACCCAGGAGGTGGAGGTTGTAGTGAGCCAAAATGGCATCACTGCACTCCAGCCTGGGCAATAAAGTGAGACTCCATTTCAAAAAAAAAAGTTCAAATAAGTACTCTGATTTATCTCTCATCTCTCATTTTTCTTTTCTCTTGAGAATCTCAAACAGCCTAATTTCATTCATTTTTCCTAACTCTATCTAATTTGCTCACAATGAAGAGCATAGGATAGTTTCAAGGAAGCTGACTTTTTAGAGTTATTTTAGCAGGTTAGAAATATAACAAAATATTACATAGTGCCTCTGCATTAAGACATGAAGGAGGTCCAGCTATATGACATTCTGGAAAAGACAAAACTATGGAGACAGTTAAAAAAAAAAAAAAAAAAAAAACAGTGGTTTCCGGTAGTTAATGGAAGGGAGGAGTGAACAGGTGGAACACAGAAGATTTTTAGGGCAGTGGAACTACTCTGTATGATACTGTGATGGTGGATACATTATATATTTGACCACACCCATAGACTAGACACCACCAAGAGTGAACCTTAATGTAAACCATAGACTCTGGGTGATGATGTTGTCCGTGTAGGCTCATCAGTTGTAACAAATGCGCCACTCTGGTGCCGCATGTTGATAAAGAGGCTGGGGATGGGGCAAGAGGCATGTGAGAAGTCCCTGTACTTTCTACTCAGTTTTGCTGTGAACCTAACTGATCTAAACATAAAGGTCTATTTTAAAAGGTGGAGGAAGAGGTTAGTAATGAGGAATGATACCATGGTGGGGTTTTGAGAGAACTGTACCGCTGTCCCTAGCCAGGCTTTGTTATCTTAAGAATGAGATAGTGTGTCATCTGGAGCAGAAGTAGCTGCTGGAGAAGAGAAATCACACAGTCCAGTAGTAGGCTAATTATGTAGGTGCTTGGCCTAAGTGCCCCTTTCTTGCCTTAAAGGCCATTCCAAAGTCTTGTAATTTTGCTCCAAAGAGCATGGTTTGATCCAGAGCTAACCTTAAGCTATTGCCCATCTCACATTACAGAATGTCATAAGCAGAGAAGGAAACTAGAAACGCCAGGAAATTAAGCTGGGCTTCCAGGTTCCTTTCAGGGTGAGCCTAGTTTCAAACTAAAATCAAGTAATTTACTTGAGCAATCAGGAGTGTCTATTAAATGGCAACTTCTAACTTAGGTCCTGATAATATAGGACAGTGCTTCCTTGTATCTGAATTGTGCTCTGCAACTCAGAATTTGTCTGTTTCACATTCATTATCTCCTTATGATTTAATATTCCTTATAGAAGTATCTAATGCAACTTTACAGATGAGAAAACTGAAAAGCACAGAGAGGCTAGGTGACTTACCAGGTTGCCTCTGTTTATCCCGTCTCCTGTTTTTAAGTCCTTTGGCTTTGCATTACCTATTAGCAATTTCCAGGACTTACTCTGGCCATAGCTGCAATCATTAGACATACCAGGCTTCCTAGGATTATGACGGCAAGGAACTTCTGAAAACCTGGTCACCCCACGGTGTTTGTCTGGTGATCACACTGCTGCTCAACTGAAAAGAATAGGAACCGTTGGCAATGTGTGGTGCATTTTCCCTGTAGCCGAGCACGAGCTTTGCTTCGCCTCATTTAGGCTCTAGTCCATGCTGGGAACATCAGAGTTAGCTCAGCTTAGTCTCATGAAGAAGTAGTTCAACTTGAATGGGTTTTCTGGTGACAGTCTCATTTATTTCCCTTTCTTGGATTAATTTGCCGAAGCTCACATCTTAAGAATATTTGGGACTATATATAACATGCAATAATGAGTAGATTTCCATAATATCAAATAGAAAAAAAGCTACTAAAATATATGGCCAGTGCGCCGTTGGAGTTTTACACATTGGGAAACATAAATACTAACTATTTTGATAGTAAAAGGGAAATGTAAAACATAACTTCAAATCAGTTTTTAAATGGGAACCCTAATATAATAGATCAGGGGTCAGATTCTAGTGATAGATTTTAAGAAGCAAAATTTTCCCTCCTTGAAGGTCAAGATTAATAATTATGTTGTTCTTAGTAATATAAAAGATGTACAGTATTTATTGTTTAAAGAAATGTTTGTTTTCTGAGCTTTTTATTGAAATGATATAAATGGAAATACACACAGTTGCTATTTGTCACTATTTTTTACTTCTCCATTGTAGGCTGCAACCCCACCCTGTGGATGAACAGGTAACAGAGCCTCCTGTTTCAAAACATCTTGTATAAATTATGAAGCTGGTTGTACTGTGTCTAGCTAGCAAAAAGGTAGCGTGGGCAAAAGATGAGTGAATACAGTGTACCATCCTTCTTAGAATACCCTCAACAAATTTGTATTGCCTGAACCTCACACAGGAAGTAGCACAGCTTTCAGCAGTTTACTAAGTAAACATCAGTTCTCACTTATTTGAAATTATCCCTGACATAAGACCTAGGAGGGCTCACTTTATGTACCTTTCCTCTAGTTTTTCCTTACATAAAATGAAGAGAAAAAAGATGTTTTGATCACTTAGAAATAAGCTAACATGGCTGGGCGCGGTGGCTCAAGCCTGTAATCCCAGCACTTTGGGAGGCCAAGGTGAGTGGATCACGAGGTCAAGAGATCAAGACCAACCTGGTCAACATAGTGAAACCCCATCTCTACTAAAAAAAATACAAAAAATTAGCTGGGCGTGGTGGCGCATGCCTATAATCCCAGCTACTCAGGAGGCTGACGCAGGAGAATTGCCTGAACCCAGGAGGCAGAGGTTGCAGTGAGCCTAGATCACGCCATTGCACTCCAGCCTGGTAACAAGAGGGAAACTCCGTCTCAAAAAAAAAAAAAGAAAGAAAGAAGCTAACATAAATGATTGTAAAACACTTTGTGAATCTAATAGTATATGAAAGCCCATGAGAAAGATAGTGAATGCTACTATGTCTGAGTCACCCTGTCATTTACCTCTTAGCTTATAAAATAAAATAAATCCTACTGCTTTCCACTCTTTTTTTTTGGAGATGAGGTCTCACTTGTTGCCCAAGCTGGGGTAGTGGACAATCTTAGCTCACTGCAGCCTCTACTTCCTGAGCTTAGGTGATCCTCCCACCTCTGCCACCTGAATAGTTAGGAGTACAGGTGCATGTCACCACGCCCACATACCTGGCAAATTTTTTGTATTTTTAGTAGAGATGAGGTTTTGCCATGTTGCCAAGGCTGGACTCAAACTCTTGGGCTCAAGCGATCTGCCTGCCTTGGCCTTCCAAAGTGCTAGGATTATAGGCATGAGCTTCTGTGCCCTGTGCTTGCCATTCTTTCTCCCTCCCCTCCCCCTATTTGTTTTTGAGACAGAATCTTGCTCTGTCACCCAGGCTGGAGTGCTGTGGCACAGTCTCAGCTCACTGCAACCTTTGCCTTCCAAGTTCAAGTGATTCCCCTGCCTCAGCCTCCCAAGTAGCTGCGATTACAGGTGCCCACCACCATGTCCAGCTATTTTTTCTTTTTTCTTTTTTTTTTTTTTTTATATTTTGAGTAGAGATGGGGTTTTGCCATATTGGCCAGGCTGGTCTTGAACTCCTAACCTCAGGGTGAACCACCCACCTCGGCCTCTCAAAATGCTGGGATTACAAGCGTGAGCCACCAGGTCCAACCCCCAGTGCTTTTCATTCTTGATGGTAGAGTGAAACAAGAGGAATGGAATAATGTTAAAACTTTTTACTCTATACTTGCATATGCTTGAATTTTCTTTTTAGAAATAAAGTCATGTTATTTTATTATAAAAATTAAGAGCTGGAAGGATAATAATAAGATTATCTGAGTTGTATTATGGTGGTGAGACTACCTGTTTGTGATTGGTTTTAGTTTCCCGACAGTCTATAGTGTGATAATATTAATATTGTAGCTAAAAAATTCGTATTCTGAAAGTACTAATGTTTCTAGCACCAAGGAAAACTAACCAGCTCAATGTGTGGTTTAGGATCAGCTGCTGCTCTCTGAAAAGCCACAGGTGTGTCAGCTATGCCAGGAAGATGGCAGCCTAACAAAGGTAACTTCGGTGAGACATGGACAGGGTTTTCATAGGGATGCCTACAGCACCCCCAGTCCATCCCCAGGAGTAACAGGGACTTTGCCTCATAGAGTTCAGAGTACATGTTCACAATGCTGGGAGTGGAGTGAAAGCAAAGGGGGCAAGCATTTACTGGGTACCTGTTCTTTTTCAGTCATAGTAATTGATGTCAGTAAGTTCCCATTAAAATAAACATAAATAACTGTGTAATTTAAAACAAATAAGCAGATAGAAATGTCTTAGTAAATATTGAGAGCCTGCTGTGTAGAATGTGCTGGGAAAGAGTAATGAACAAAGTAGACTAAGTCTGTTCTTGTCAAGCTTATGTCCTTCGTAGCTGTCATTTTATAGGTGAAGAACATTGAACATCTAATGCTAAGTCCATTTCCCAAAATTACTCAAGTCATAGGTGGTGAAACCCAGCTTCCAACCTAGCTTTAGCTCCAAAGTCCACAGTCCTTTCAGCACTATATCCTGCCCAGAACAGGATATGAGCTCCTCCGCTAGACCACTTGATTTCTGCTCCCCCAATCCTCAAGGGTGTCATCTGCCTGAGCATCTTCCCAGTTTGTTATCCTAGAGCAGGCAGAGTGAAGGAAGTATTCAGAAAGAACCAGTGCCCTTGACAGCTGGAACTGCGTCTTGTCCACGGTAGAATCCCCCAGCATCTAATATGGTACCCAATCCGTAGTGGTCAAGTGGTCAAGAAGAGTTATGTACAAATGAGTCTATGAAACACATACTTGGAAGAGATAGAGCAAGGAGGCTCAAATTCTGGATCACAACCTGCATAGCACCATTTGTGATCATGCTGAATTTTAACAAGTGAAATTATAGTATGACCTAGTCTTAAATTCACAGAATCAGATAACAGATGAACTGCCCTTATAGAACTGGAAGGTGTAATTTTAGAAATATGCTACAAAATAGAAAAACCTGTTAATTCTGGCTTTTGTCTTCTAAGCCGTGCAACATTAACTTCTGTATGTCAGATAAAAATTCTCAGGCTTTCAAATAAAAGCAACCCCCTACTCCTCTCACCCTTAGGAAGATGAATTATTTGAGATGAAGTTAGTATTTCATGGGAGAAATTATTCTTCACAGCTCTTTATATGGGACCCTTGGAGCTTTGTGTATCCCACCCTATCACAGCCTTACCACTGACACTGCTATAGTGACATCTTGCTCTTCCAGTGCTTGACTATTGAAGATTCAAAATGTTTAGGAAAGCAAAAGTTTTCCTTTGAACAAGATGCTGGAAGCTGTGCTCATGCTGCACTGATAACCGAACGGATGTTCTTACAGAGCATCAAAGATCACAGGAAAGCATTAAGCATATCCATGTATTAGGAATTATACTTTCAGTTCATATTCAGAACATTTTTTAATCCTACCTGTTCACCCAACCCATTGTACATCACTGCCTTACTTGCAGTATGCTCAGGTATTTGCCAACTAATTTTAAAACTAACCTACCTAAAAGTGAGTATGAGGAACAGATGTGTGAAATATATTCCAAAGATAAGTGATTTGTATGTAATCCGTTTTTATGTTTAACTCTATGGTACTTCTTCTTTTCATTTAATCTAAAAACTTGACGGTGAACCTCTTTGTAGACTGGGCCTGTGTTCAAATCCTATCTGGCACGTAGTAAAGATCCAGTCAGTGTTTGATTAGGCATTGAGCACTTACCATAGTTGGCTTTTTATATCCCGTGAATCCTTACGCCTTGCTCTTCTCCTCCCCACCTCACCTCCTTCTCCTTACAGAATGTGTGTAAGAACTGCAGAGGAACCTTCTGTGATGCCTGTTCAACAAATGAACTGCCTCTTCCTTCAAGTATCAAGCCTGAGCGAGTTTGCAATCCCTGTCACAAGCATCTGATAAAGCAATATTCCACCAGCCCATCATAAGACTGAAGGCCAAGACCTGGACCAGAACGTTTATGCAGGCTCTTCTATATCTGTGTTTTAGCTGTCAGGATCTCCTAGAGCCCAGTCCTTAGAGTCAACTAAAGAGTTGATAGGAATTAACTAGGTCCAGGGAGAAAAGGCAGTGGTTGGGGTTACTGGAAATTTTGCTCGTTTTCCCTAATGACTGGATGAATAAAAGTTAACTAACTTGAGCCTTTATCTTCTAAATCTAAACAACCTGACATTGAAGGTTTGCTTTATAGCATATCTTTGGAAGGGCAATTCATTGTTATGATTAGTGATAATAATGCTGGGGTGGATTTAATAGAAGAGAGAGTCTAGGCAGATAAGAATAAAAAGGAAAATGATCATCTTCTATTACCTTTGCAGAATAGATGCCGAGATCAAAATGACAGATGTTACATATATTCCCAGGTGCTGTTAGACATAAACATTGCTTCCACTTCACCCCTACTACCTACCTCTGAAAGTATCTCTACCAAACTGTGAAACCAGTCTCAGGGAAAAGAAAGAGTAATATAAATTCTGAATGTATTGAAAACAATATTGTAATATATTATAATTTCAGGACCAGAATTTTCTGGTCTTTGCCTACAGGGATTTTCATTATCAAAAAAAGAACATTTGTTTTTCTACTTAGTGACTTCAAAGTAAATAAACTGCCCTTTTCAGAATCTTTCACAAAACAAGCCAACTCTTCCCCATTCCCTCTGTCTTCCTCTCAGAGTCATAATGGAAATTGTAAGGAGTTTTAAAAATAGGGTTTGACTTTTGCAAATAGAAGATATTGATTAAAGCAAAGGCGAATATAGAGTAAAACAAGTTTAATTTGTTTTCTTGAGACAGGGTCTTGCTCTGTTGCCCAAGCTGGAGTGCAGTGGTGCAGTCACAGCTCACTGAATCCCTGACCTCCTGGGCCTCAAGCAATCTTCCCACCTCAGCCTCCCAAGTAGCCGGGACTGGGTTTTTTTTTTTGTTTGTTTTTTTGTTTTTTTGTTTTTTTTTTAAGCGGTGGAGTCTCATTGGTTGTTCAGGCTGGTCTCAAACTCCTGGGCTCAAGCAGTCTTCCCGCCTTGGCTTCCAAAGTGCTGAGATTATAGGCATGAGTCACCACACTTGGCCAAGTTTAATTTGTTGATGGCTAAGGACAGTTAGCTCGGAATACTTACTGTTTTTGAATATGGAATTCCTCATTCTGAGTCATGAATGGGAGCTGATAGATGCTTTCTTGGAAAGGGCAATACAGTCATCCCTCAGTATCCATGGGGGATTGGTTCCAGGAATCCCACTGGATATCAAAATCCATGGTGCTCAAGTCCTATTGTATAATACGGGTTATACGGTATTTGCCTATAACCTACATACATCTTCCTGTGTACTTTAAATCATCTGAAGATTACTTATACTTAATAAAATACCTACACGTCATCTCATTTGCATGGATTCAACATAGTGCTTGGTGTTCAACAAATGCAAGTTTTGCTTTTTTGGAACTTTGTGGATTTTTTTTTTCCTGAATATTTTTGATTGGCAGTTTGTTGAATCCATGGATGCAGAACCTGTGGATATAGAGGACTGACTGTATTCATACATCTGAATAACAAACTCTTTGGGGGAAAAGAGGGAAGTATATTGAGCAAGAGAAGGAAAGAAACATTGTATATTATTTTGATTCTGTTACATGTGTCTATAGATTGTTTGGTTTTAATCAAGACCTAAGAAGATATGATTCTATGACTGGTTTAGAATCTGGGGTGGAAACATCTTGGAACCATGTTATTTAATAAATTCTGTCTCCTGGAAAGGGTTACAACCTGGGAAAGAGTTGTTATTCCAAAAGTCCCCTGTTACTTGGTGAAGCTTAAGAGTTCTAGGGAAAAATAAAATCTTAAGTCAAGCCTAGTTTTTTGATTGTCTTTTTTTCCCTTAAATAACATTTGTTTTTGAGAATCTTAACTCTCCTTAATTTTTGGGCACATACGTGAGCTACCACTCTTTTACATGCTATACATAATGTGGGGGACAAAAACAGACTAAAGGAGTGTTGCCCTAAATCGGCAAAAGTTATTTTAGAATTAATTTTAAATTAAATTGAAAAGAGACAGCTTTGTAACATGCAATATAATATTAGTCACTTGAGATTTTACTTAGAATTACACACAAATATTTATCTTTTTTTTTTTTTTTTTTTTGGCTACAGAGTCTCACTCTCACCCAGGCTAGAGTGCAGTGGCACAATCTTTGCTCACTACCTCTGCCTCCTGGGTTCAAGCAGTTCTCTGCTGCAGCCTCCCGAGTATCTGGGATTATAGGCAGGTGCCACCATACCTGGCTAATTTTTTTTTTTTTTTTTTTTTTTTTTTTTTGTAGAGATGGGGTTTCACCATCTTGGCCAGGCTGGTCTTGAACTCCTGACCTCGTGATCCATGTACCTTGGCCTCCCACTGCGCCTGGTGGTGGCTCGCACGTGTAATCCGAGCACTTTGGGAGGCTGAGACAGGAGAATTGCTTGAAGCCAGGAGGCGGAGGTTTCAGTGAGCCAAGATCGTCCCACTGCACTCCAGCCTGGGCAACAACAGAGTGAGACTCCATCTCAAAAAAAAAAAAAAAAAAAAAAGATTGTATGCAATGTCCCAAAGATCTGTAGTTATTAGTAAAGCCTCCCATAAAAGCATGGGGACCAAGTCATGAATACCTTGACTTAATAATATGTCTATCTGTCTTCCTTTAAAATTGTGCTTTTCACCATTTACAATAGCATAAACTGAACCAAAAAGCCAAAAGATTTGAACACTGAAAACTTCAAATGTTGCCATACAAAATTAAGACATAAAAGTATCACATGTTCAGCCAGCTGCTGTGGCTCACCCTGTACTCCCAGCCTTTGGGAGGCCAAGAAGGGTGAATCACCTGAGGTCGAGTTCAAGACCAGACTGATGAACATGGCAAAACCCTGTCTCTACTAAAAATACAAAAATTTGCCAGGCATGGTGGTGATGAGGCAGGAGAATTACTTGAACCCAGGAGGAAGACATCGCAGTGAGCCAAGATTGCACCCCTGCACTCCAGCCTGGGTGATAGAGTGAGACTCTTGTCAAAAAAAAAAAAAAAAAAAAGTGTATGTTCATGGATTCAAAAACAATATTGTTAAGATGTCAATACTACCCAAAGTAATCTACAGATTCAATACAGTCCCAGTGAAAATTCCAACATTCTGCAAAAACAGAAAAATCTATCCTAAAATTCATACACAATCTCACGAGACCCCCGAATAGTCCAAATAATCTTGAAGAAGAACAAAGTTGGCCAGGCACAGTGGCCTATGCCTGTAATCCTTGCACTTTGGGAGGCCAGGGCAGGCAGATCATGAGGTTAGGAGATCGAGACCATCCTGGCTAACACAGTGAAACTCCATCTTTTCTAAAAATAACAAAAAATTAGCCAGGCGTGGCGACACACACCTGTAGTCCCAGCTACTTGGGGAGGCTGAGGCAGGAGAATCGCTTGAACCCAGGAGGCAGAGGTTGCAGTGAGCCAAGGTCGCGCCACTGCACTCCAGTCTGAGTGACAGAGCGAGACTCTGTCTCAAAAATGGGGGGAAAAAAAAAAAAAAAAAAAAGAACAAACTTGGAGGTCTTCCACTCCCTGATCTCAACATTGTTTTGTTTGTTTGTTTGTTTTTTGAGACGGAGTTTCGCTCTTGTTACCCAGGCTGGAGTGCAATGGCGCGATCTCGGCTCACCGCAACCTCTGCCTCCTGGGTTCAAGCGATTCTCCTGCCTCAGCCTCCTGAGTAGCTGAGACTACAGGCGTGCGCCACCATGCCCAGCTAATTTTTGTATTTTTAGTAGATACGGGGTTTCACCATGTTGACCAGGATGGTCTCAATCTCTTGACCTCGTGATACGCCCGCCTCGGCCTCGCAAAGTGCTGGGATTACAGACGTGAGCCACCGCACCCGGCCTGATCGCAACATTGAATACAAAACTACAGTAACCAAAACAGTATGATACTGGCATAAAGTTTAGCATATAAACCAATGGAATAGAATCACAAGCCTAGAAATAAACCTTTACATATATGGTCAGATGGTTTTCGATAAGGGTCCCAAGACCATTCAGTGGAGAAAAGATCGTCTTTTCAACAAATGGTGTGGGGAAAATTGGATCTCTACATACCAAAAAAAAAAAAAAAAAAAAAAGTTGAACACTTACACGATATACAAATATTAACTTAAAATGCATAAAAAACTAGCTCCATCCACCAAGATTGGGAGAAAATGAGAGCTAAAATTATCAAACTCTTTAAAAAAGAAACAATTACCGGCCGGGTGTGAGGGCTCATGCCTGTAATCCCAGCACTTTGGGAGGCCGAGACAGGTGTATCACCTGAGGTCAAGTGTTCAAGACCATCCTGGCCAACATGGTGAAACCCTGTCTTTACTAAAAATATAAAACTTCGCCAGGCGAGGTGGCGGGGCACGTGTAATCTCAGCTATTCAAGGAGGCTGAGGCAAGAGAGTTGAGTGAACCTGGGAGGCAGAGGTTGAAATGAATCTAGCCTGGGCAACAGAGCAAGACCCCGTCTCAAAAAACAACGGAAAAGCTTCATGACATTGAATTTGGCAGTAATTTTTTTGGGTATGACCAAAAGCATTTAAAAAAAAATAGATTGGACTCCAGTAAAATTAAAAATTTGTGCATCAAGGGACACTACCAGAAGAATGAAAAGGAATGGGAGAAAACTGCAAATAAATCCTGGCTGGGCGTGGTGGTTCACACCTGTAATCCTAGAACTTTGGGAGGCCGAGGCAGGCAGATCACCTGAGATCAGGAGTTCAAGACCAGCCTGTCCAACATGGCAAAACCTGTCTACTAAAAATGCCAAAAAAAAAAAAAAAAAAAAAAAAAATTAGCCCTGCATGGTGGTGGGTGCCTGTAATCCCAACTACTCAGGAGGCTGAGGCAAGAGAATCGCTTGAACCTGGGAGGCGGAGGTTACAGTGACTTGAGATAGTGCCATTGCAATCCTGCCTGGGCGACAGAGCAAGGCTCCGTCTCAAAAAAAGAAAAAGAACTCCTGCAACAATTAAAAAAAAAAAGCCTGAAAAAAATAAGCAAAGTACTTGAATAGACATGTCTTGCAAAAAGATATAGAATTATCCAACAAGTACATGAAAAGCTCAAAATCAGTAATCACTGGGGAAGTGCACAGATTAAAACCTACAATGAGATACCACTCTATACCTATTAAGGTGGCTACTATCAAAAAAGCAGAACAAGCATTGACAAGGAAATAGAGAAAATGGAATTCATGTACACAGTTGATGGGAATGTAAAATGGTACAGCAGTATAGTGATTTTAAAAAATTACCATATGATCCAACAAATCCATTTCTGGGTATATACCCCCAAAAATTGAAAGCAGGAACTTCTACAGATATTTGTATACCTGTGTTTCCAGCCCTTTTATTCAAAATAGCCAAAAGGTAGAGACAACCCTAGTGTCCATCAATGGATGAATGGGTAAACAAAAGTTGGTATATGCATACAATGGAATATTATTCAGCTTTAAAAACAATGACAGAGGCAGCCGGCTGTGGTGGCTCACGCCTATGATCCCATCACTCTGGGAGGCCGAGGCGGGCGGATCACCTGAGGTGGAGAGTTCCACACCAGCCTGACCAACATGGAGAAACCCCGTCTCTACTGAAAATACAAAAAACTTAGCCGGGTATGGTGGTTCATGCCTGTAATCTTAGCTATTTGGGAGGCTGAGGCAGAAGAATCACTTAAACCCGGGAGTCAGAGTGTGTGGTGAGCTGAGTTCATGCCACTACACTCCAGCTTGGGCAACAAGAGCAAAACTCCGTCTCAAAAAAAAAAAAAAAAAAAAAAAAAAAAAAAAAAAAAAAACCTGACACATGCTACAATATAGATGAACCTTAAGGACACACAGTAAGTGAAATAAGCCAGTCATACATAGGACAAATATTGTATGACTCCACTTATACCAAGTACCTAGAATAGTCAAAAGCATAAAGATAGAAAGTAAAATGATGGTTCCCAGGGACTTAAGGAAAAGCAGAATGGGGAGTCAGTGTTTAATAGGTACTGTTTGTGTTGGGGGAAGATGAAAGATTCTGGTGATGGTGGTGATGGTTGTCCAGCAATGTGAATGCACTAATGACACAGAAATGTATGCTTAAAAATGGTAAAAAACAAAAACCCACAAGTTTTATGTATATTTTATCAGTTTTTAAAAATCGTGCTTTCCAGAAGGATTCAGAAATTACAATTATGTATGTACATTTGGGTTATTACACATGGATATCTCTGTTCACTGGGAAGGCCTAGCAGCAGACCCCCCAGTAGCAATGAGTACATCCAATGCCCAGATCTTCTTTTCTAATACCATTCTTCAAGAAAAGGAATCAGGTCTTCCTAGAGAAATGGCTGATTCTCAGTTTAGGGCATATTCTAGTGCCAGAAAGTAGTGTTCCACAAACAAGGATGTAGACATGTGAAAGGGAGACAGAAGCCAACTGAAAGAACCCTCGGTGGCCAAAGATGAAACAAATCTCAGCAACAAAGTAAATAATGCAGCATAGGATTATAACCCAAAGGATAAAGTATCCATGAGTCCACATTGATGTAAATGACCTGATGAATGAGAGGTGGCGTCTCTACTATACAGAAAAAGCCCAAATAATTATGTAGACACTCCCACTTCAAGGAGATGAACTCCCAACCTTTCGAGTATGGATTGTGCTTAGTAACTTAAAGAGCGCAATATGTGAAGAGGAAAAAAAATAATTTTACAGCAACCTGGCAAACACTATCTTGGCCAGGTGATCAAAATTTGTATCAGTATCATCAGTGGTAAATCATATTGA